AAACACTATTATATCCCACATCACTTCGTGTTGAAGGACTCTAGCTTAACAACAAAATTGAGAGTTGTTTTCGATGCGAGCGCTAAAACAACCACAGGTGTTTCTTTAAATGATACACTAATGATAGGCCCAAAAATACAAGATGACTTAATTTGTATTTTACTAAGATTTAGACTTCATAACATTGCAATAACCGCTGATATTAAAATGATGTACAGACAGATAAAGGTTCATGAAAAAGATAGAGATTTTCAGAGAATATTATGGAGAGATAGCCCGTATAAGCAAATACAAGTTTGTCGTTTGAAAACAGTTACATATGGAACTGCAGCTGCTCCATATCTTGCAACCAAAGTTTTGAGTCAGTTAGCGATTGATGAAGGATTGAACTTTCCAAAGGCAAAGAATATAGTTTTAAGAGATTTTTATGTTGATGATATGTTAACTGGTGTAAAAGATAGTTCGGAAGGTATTGCATTGATAGACGAATTGCAACATCTGCTAAAAAGTGGTGGCTTTGAGCTTCACAAATGGTCGACAAGTGAACCGTCATTGTTAAAAACCTCTGGCTTAACAAACACAGATAGTGACAATATTCATCGTGTAATAGAAGACAAACCATTGAAAGTTCTGGGATTGGAATGGCATCCGGACAATGATGAATTCAAATGTAATGTCGGTGTAATAGAGTATCAAAGTGTTCCGACTAAAAGAATTATTTTGTCATTCGTAGCAAAACTATTCGATCCATTGGGGTGGATAGCTCCGTTTGTAATTCTCGCTAAAATGATCCTTCAGCAATTGTGGAAATTACAGTTATCATGGGATGATCCTGTAACAGAAGAGATTGATCGAAATTGGAGAAATCTATGTAGAGAAGTTAAACTTTTGAATTCTATAAATATACCTAGGAAAATTCTGCTACCTGATTATTTTCGATGTGAACTTCACGGATTTTGTGATGCGTCTGAAAGAGGTTATGCAGCAGTTATTTATATCAAAACTTGCAATAACTCTGACATTAATGTTAAACTCGTAACAGCTAAAACTCGTGTAGCACCATTAAAATCTATTACGATTCCAAGACTGGAATTATGTGCAGCAGTGTTATTGGCACGCTTAATTCAGTCTGTAAAAGCTGCATTAGTTATAAATTTTGATTTAGTGCAAGCTTGGAGTGATTCACAAATCGTGTTGTCATGGCTAAGGTCAGATCCTAAAAAATGGCAAGTATTCGTATCCAATAGAGTTTCTGAAATACAATCCATCTTACCACCTGAGAACTGGAGTCATGTTTGATGGAAAGGAAAATCCAGCTGATTGTGCTTCACGTGGATTATTTCCTGCAGAACTATTATCTCATCAATTGTGGTGGAATGGTCCTTCTTGGTTAAAGTGCAGTGAGATTGCCTTATCTAAAAATATTCTTATAGATGAAGAGGCATTACCAGATGCACGTAAAACAGTCTCATTTGTAGTTTCTGAACCTGTACAGGAACTTGCTATTATATCAAATATATCTTCATTTCCAAAGTTACAACGCATATTTGCTTGGATATTAAGATTCATATCGAATTCTAAAGTAGCATATCTAGAAAGAAATACGTCTTTTTTATCTAGTAATGAAATTCGAGCTGCAACTTTCTGTATTGTCCGAATAATACAGCGATTTCACTTTTTTAAAGAAATTCAATGTTTGGAGTTGGGAAAGGACTTACCTACAAACAGCAACCTCCTTAGCTTGTGTCCAATTTTAGATGACAACAAAGTGTTACGTGTAGGAGGAAGACTGAAAAATGCGCAACTATCAGAAAATGAAAAACATCCAATCTTATTACCTTCAAAACACAATCTGACAGAAATCATAATTAGACACTTTCATGTCAAATATCTGCATGCAGCACCGGAACTTCTTCTATCTTTAATTAGACAGCAATTTTGGATCATAGCTGCTAGATCTGCTATCCGAAAAGTAGTAAATCTTGTATCACGTGTTGCAAACTTAGAGCTAAAACTGCAAGTCAAATAATGGCTGATCTACCGGAATCTAGAGTAACACAATCGCGACCATTTCATCGAACTGGAATAGATTTTTCTGGACCGTTCATGATTAAACATCGTGCAGGACGTGGACAAAAATCATTTAAATATTACGTATGCTTATTTGTGTGTTTTGTAATCAAGGCAGTACATCTTGAAGTGGTAGAAGATTTGTCAACAAAGGCATTTTTAAGTGCATTGAAACGATTTATTGCAAGAAGAGGGAAACCATTTGAGATTTATAGTGACTGCGGTACTAACTTTAAAGGTGCAGACAAAGAAATCAGAAAATGTTTTTTGCAATGTAAGCAAAATCAAGAAATTCACAAATTTTTGTCTTTAGAGGAAATAAAATGGATATTCAACCCGCCATCATCTCCCCATTTTGGTGGACTATGGGAATCGGCAGTAAAGTCAATGAAATTACATCTAAAAAGGACTGTTGGTGATACTGTGCTGACCTATCCGGAATTTCAGACCTTGATAGCGCAGGTTGAGGCTTGTCTCAACTCTAGGCCATTGTGTCCAACATCGGCTGATCCAAATGATTTAACTGCATTAACACCTGGTCATTTCCTAATAGGAACGTCTTTAACTGCCATACCTGAACCAGACCTAAATTATAGTTCCTTCAATCACATTGACAGATGGCATGTGAGACAGTTTATTTTTCAGCACTTCTGGAAAAGATGGAGTCGAGAATACCTGTCTCAGCTTCAACAAAGACCTAAATGGCAAAAAAGTCAAAACAATTTAGAAGTCAATGACTTAGTCCTCATCAAAGAAGACAACCTTCCGCCTCTTAAATGGAGGTTAGGGAGAATAATTGCTGTTCATCCGGGCTCAGATCAAAGAGTCAGAGTTGCTAGTATTAAAACTGGTCATGGTGTCATAAAACGACCAGTCGTGAAATTGTGTCCTCTTCCTATTCAGACTAAAAAAACTATGAACTGCTTCGCATATAATATTTTGTATTATTTTTTCTTATGTTTATCTTTATTACAGACTAAGAAGTTTCAAAATGCTCCAACTGTTGAAATCCCCTGGGATTTCAACGAGGGCCAGGATGTTTATGTGAGTATCGTTTGCTTCATTTTATTGTTGCAAACAGCGTAAATTCCTTTTGCTTTTCTTCCTTTAGTTTTGAACTTTATGTGTGGCAACAAGATAATGATTGATAGAATAGTGTTTGTGACAGCCATGTAGAATGGCTCGCTTATTTTTTATCAATTATTTTGCATCGCTGACAAGTGTAATTTAATAAAAGTGTAGGAATACAGTCCATTTTTTGATTGATTATTGTTTGTGAAACATATTAAGTGTATAGAACAGTGACATTTTCCGGAAAATTCCAATCGTGATTTTAGCCAATAAGCACTTAGAAACAATTTCGCTGCTAAAGAATCGCCCACTTATTTGTTTAGCGCTTTTTACAAGAGTAAGAAGAATTGGATTTTTGTCAATTTTCTTTGACTTTTTTTAAGTGAAAATAGATCGACGTGTACATGGATACCGTGTATGTGCAATTCTTAAAAACGTGGCAAGCAGTTTGCAATTCTGCACTTTCTCCCAATTTGGCACCTAATCTTTGTCATGATTAAGCATTTTTGTTCCATAAAAGTTCTAGTATAAGCGTAATTCGGCTAGCAGATTGTTGGAAAAAATGTTGAGTAAAAAAAAAAAAAAAAAGCCTTTACTTCATGAAAACAAAATGGCATCGTCCAAAACAAAACTAGCAGGTTGCTGTAGCAGGATTAGTCACCAAATTTTCGCCAAAAAATCACCAAGTTACCATAATGTAAAGATTCACCGATGACTTTTCTTTGCAAATATTCAGAATCGGAATTCGGAAGTGCAGAATAGCTCACTTATTCGTTTGACGCTTTTTACAAGGGTAAAAACAATTGGAATTTTCTCAATTTTATTTTACTTTTTAAATGGAAACAGGTCGATGTGTACATAGATAAAGTCAAAGAGGTGCGCAGTGCCATTTCTGTGCAATTCTGAGATTTTTTTTCAAGTGAAAATAGGTCGATGTGCACATGGATACCGAGTATGTGCAATTCTTAAAAATGGGTCAAGCAGTGAGTGATTCTGCACTTTATCCAAAATTCTATTGCCGACTTTTCATCACGGGCAATTCCCAAATTGGGTAAAATCCTAGTATACGGTGCAGTATTGGTGCGAACGTCTATATACTATACACTATATGTGTATATACATAATATATACTATATATATTCTTTGAATGACCCGTTTACTACTCATCGTATATGTCCCGTTTTTACTGCTCATCATAAAGTCGCCAAAAGTAGCCAAATCCAATGTGCACCAGATACTAGGATTAAACTCCCAAACTATTAAATCCATAGGATATCAAAAAAGGATTGGGTAAAATCCTAGTATATGGTGCAGCCTTGGCGCGACTTTGAAAATTATCGCCAACACCAAAAATGATCCAAAGAACGTCTATATATATACTATACACACATAGTATATGTAAATACACATATAGTATATATACTATATAGATAGTATATACTATCTTTAACTACATATTTTCTTTGAATGACCCGTTAACTATTCATCGTATATGTCCCATTTTTACTGCTCATCATAAAGTCGCCAAAAGTAGCCAAATCCCGTGTGCACCGGATACTAGGACTAAACCAAGGAGGTAAAAATTAAAACTAGTATTTCAATGGCGTCTTAAGAAATATAGAACTATATAAACTTATGCAATCTGAAACCAGCGCGTACGCTAGATTTGGCGCGCTGTTAAATGGGCGCGTTTGCTAGATTTGGCGTTTTTGCGCATACATTTTCGCTGCAATATTTTTACGGCCCTCAAAACAGAAGAGTACCCAATTCCTTAATCTACTCTAGAAGCAAATCAAATGATTTTTCAGTTCAGCTCTTCGTTGCACCGTGATAAATTTTTATTTTTTTAAAATTCTTACCTGTAAAGTTTCCATCCATGTACGAACGATTTCAACACTTTGCTTTTGTGTTTCATTGTTGGGTTCACTATTTTCAGAAATGTCTACAGAATCAGTAATTTCACCTTCTTCTGTTTCATCATTACCCAGAGTTACCTTCAGGTTAGGCAAAAGTTTGCCCATTAAAATGTGCGCCATACTCCAGAAATACAAAAATGAGAAACAATTTAGAATTAGGGAAACATCAAGCCCTAAGATACCAAAGCAGACGCACCGTCAGAGGACACTTACGGATTGTTGCCATGCCTGTCAGATTTATAGACTAAAATAATTTCACGTATTTTTAGTTGTCTTTTCATTTTTACAGCACAAATAATTACTGGATGTAAAATTTTATAAGGAATTTAAGATATTTTCCTCTTTCCACAAATCAAATAATTGATGCTGTGCATTTAATCTTTTAGAATCCACAGACTTTTAAAAATTTCACATTTTTTAATGTTTGCAAATTTATTCAATTGAATTTGGCGACTTTTCTCTTTCTTTATTTCCAAAGCGATCGCCATCGATTAAAATATTTTCGCTCCGTAATCTTCAAGAGAAGGATGAAATTATCTCAACACTGATTATTTTACGCGCAATTTGCAAACCAAGGACTTTAAACTCTCTCCGTGTTGCAAACAAATGTAAACTAAGTAATGTTATTTAACTGTAATGTAAAATATAATGTTATAGATGCAGAAATTTTACACCTCATGTTTCAGACTAAATTGTTGCGCCCGTGTTTTGATTTTAATTCTTCTGTGCAACAGAACTATATACAAATGTTAGGCTACTTATTTAATTATATTAATTACAAATTTGGGGGCCGCTGAAAGAAGGAATGTATCAAGTTTCTTAATGTATTGAACCCCCCCTTTTTTTAACGAATTCCGTGCTTCCTAATACAGTAATTATATTAGAACTGTTACTATAAAAGCAGCATTGGAGTCAGTAAAGTATGAGAGTGGACAGAAACTTTCATGTTTGATGATATTTTATATCTTGAACGAAATTATGGCTTTAAAAATTATTGGTACTGTGGGACAATTAAGTTTATCATATGAGGAATTAATATCTTTGAAAACAGAAGTAACTGAACTTGGAAACAGATTGTATGAACTATATATATATTTCTTTGGTAGTCATAAAATTTTTTATTGCAAATTTATTACAGAAGAATCGCACGTTTCTACTAAAAGTGATGAGGTAGTTCATAACAAAACGATTAAGCAGCTTGTTGGGAAAAAAGAGATCTCCTCTAAAGTCTGTTTATGGGTCTGTAATTTTTTTCCCTTCTTTTCCAATATTTGATATTTTGGGTGAAGTGCAGAATGGCCCACTTATTTGGCACTTTTTCCAAGAGTAATAAGAATTGGATTTTTATGAATTTCCTTTGAATTTTTAAGTGGAAATAGATCGAAGTGTACATGGACAAAGTCAAGGGAGTGCACAATGCTTGGTTTGTGCAATTCTCTGTTTTTTAAGTGAAAATAGGTCGATGAGTACATGGGTACCAAATCTGTGCAATTCTTAAAAGTGTGCCAAACAGTGGGTGATTTTTCACTTTCCCCGATATTTTAAAATTAAAATGTATATTAATTTACTCCTAGAGCAAGAGATTTTCTGTTTAGTGTAATTGCCCCTATGAGTCACTTAGAATGGGAAAAATAATATGAAATAATTAAAAAAAAAAAACTCCGACAGTTCAAATTCTGAAAAAAGAACTTTTTTTTAATCACACGAAATTTTGTACAAAATAGAGATGCAAAGAGCTATATATAGATGTAAAAAGCTGAAATTAAGTATAAATTTGCTGGGTAAATGCTATAAACTGAATCCCGAGTCTATTCTTTTTAGACATCAAGTTCATGTTTACATGATTTCTTTTAATATGGCCATCAGAAGCATTTTCTCTTCTCAAGGACTTTTGTCACATTAACTGTGCACGTGCTTGTTAATTTTTATTCTGCCACATAGAAGAGTGCCAGATTCTTTCAACATTTTGTGTATGAACAGTTAGGTTTGAATCAACAAAATTAGAAATTTATGGTTCACAGTAATGTCTTGAACCTGCTTTTTCCATTTTCTCTGTATTATATGCTGTCCAACAATTTGAGTTTATCATTGATCCCTCTTATATATGGTTGGAGATTTTTGCCATGAGTATGGGGTTTTATTCAGAACATGAGCAAGAAAGAATGTGTCTCAGCATAACTTACCAAATATCTAGTGTTGTGGAAGAACCTTATTAGCTTTTCCCCCCCCCCTCATAAGCATGCACACCTAAATAACAAAATCTAATAACTGAATAACATTGCTAAAAGCATAAGCCAGTATCTTTATAAATTTATCAGGGGCGCCCTCTGCTTTTATTATGCGTGATATAAACATTTAGATTAATTTTGTAAAAAGAGTGATATAATCTCTTGATCCCATGTAACTATTTAATAAATTAATTTTCTTCTTTTAGTTCATTCATTATTTTATTAGCCATTTTAATTGGTAGCTTATTTTATGCAAATTTTTCTTTATCTGTAAAAAAAAATGGCAAATTGCAGTTGATTACATTATACTAATATATAAATATGCTGAATTTGAGATTATGTGTACTCATGCTTTACTGGTGAAAAGAAAATATTTTCATTAATATCAAAGTTAGAAAAATCAGTTTTAATTTTAGATTATTATTGCAATAATGGCATCAAAAGTCAAACAGCCATTCTGGAAATATGAAGCTAAATTGTTTTTCTCCAATTTTATCAATCTTTAATGTGTTCAACCCTGTATTTTTCAACTACCTTTTAACCCGGCAGAAGGCGCACGCTCAACGCTAACGTTGGAGATCGCGCAGGGTGACTGCGTCACCCCAATCGGTTTCATTAGGAAAATGTGTTATAAATTTTATAGAAACCATTTGATTATAAACAATAATTACAATATTTCATTAAGAAGCTATATTTAAGAAAACTTATTTCAATATTTAAGAAAAAGTTCCATTCAAAATAATTACCGTAATTTCCAGAAGAAACGCCGCAGCGTTTACGTGGTTAAAACTTAAACTTTCAGCGGGTGCGGTGTTTCTACCCATGCGGCGTTTAGGTGCACTAAAAATAAAATATTTCCTATAATGGTCATTGTACATAGTTTGGATGGCCTTGTCATCGTGCATAGACTGGTGCTGTTCCCACACAAAAGACCACTCAGTTGCTTTTTGCGAACGTTATTTTGTTTACATTCTTTCCCTTGAACGGACATACATGCCTTATTCACCCTAAACGAGATCTCAGAACAATAACATTCTTCCCCCTTTCAAATCAACATTCTCATCAGTTTGAATAGTCTCTCTCCTCTGCCATTCGATGAATCTTCCAGAACCCATCCTCTCCCCACCCCTGCCTTTTCTGCAATTTTTTCCAAAGGCGGACACGACTCCACCTGCCTCGAAATAACGAACTCTGAAGTATTTCCCCTTCAGCATGAATGGATTTTTCTTGGCATTCTGCCAAATATAGATCCCATCAGTTTGGGTACAAGTACTTGTTGGATAGTTTTTAATTAGGGAGCGGAAAATTTTTGAAAATGTCTCTAAACGGCACAGAAGCTATACATTTCTTACCTTTAATTTATTTTTGAGTTATGGTTTCATTTCATGCATTTTTTCTTAACTGGTATGTCATATATCAGGACTTAGGTTGAGTTTTTGCATCTATACGGCCCACGACGATGTCACGCGCAATTTAATCTATTGCGGCATTTCTGTGTAATTTTAATTTTTTCCCCGCCATTTTTCTCGAGTACGGCGTTTACGCTGATGCGGCCTTTCTTCCGGAAATTACGGTACATATCTAATCAGGGATCAGAAGCTAAAAGACACTTCTGGCAAACATAGGAAAAATGAATTTTACACGAAAAATTATCACATATTTTGCAAGAAATTGCAGTTTTATTGTTTTTAGATCTTGGACACATAGCACGTCGGCCTTGTTGGTGTTTGGTTTCTTTGATGGACGTTCTTCTAATCCTCTAGAACTCGCATTATTGATACTTTCGCGAAGCACTTTCGGAAGCATAGGCCTATTTTTTGTTATCTCTATGTGGGGTGGTATAGGATATATAGCCAAATTTTTTAGGAGTTTTCTCCTATTTCGATATTGTAAGGGAGGGATCTTTGTTGAGAATAAGGCAACTTGGGCATTTATTGCAGCGATGTTCAACACAGTAAATATCGAGCATCGGGCTATCTGTTGGTTTTTCGAGCTGTCTAATATTATGATGACATTTCATAAACTTTGTCTACACCACTTTTTGTTGCATTTAAAAGTGAATTATTTCTGGTTTCTTCGTATGATCACTTTCATCAATGGCGTCATCGCAATGCACTGTAGATAACGAAACTACATATTTTGATATTTTAGGCACATACGATACTAGGACCCAAATATAGAATCTTTTGGAACCCAAATATAGAAGAATAAACGGTTGATCTTTACATTATGGTAACTTGGCGAAAATTTGGCAACCAACTCTCCTACAGCAACCCTCTATTTTTTTTCCCCCGCCGCCATTTTGTCTTCACGAAGTAAAGACATGTTTCTTTTCTTTTTATCTACTGAACACTTCTTCTTCCAACAATCTACTAGCCGAATTACACTTATGCTAGAAATTTTATCAAACAAAACTGCTTAATGACAATATTCCTACTGCAAAATTGGGGAAAAAGTGCACAATACCATACTCCTTACGCGTTTTTCAAAATAACACATACACATAAACCATGTACACATGCCGATTTATTTTTTTACTTAAAAAAACAAATCCCAGAATTGCACAAAAATGGGCATTGTGCACACTCTTCACTATATCCATGTACACTGCTTTTTTCTCATAAATTAGAAAAATTTCACGAAAATACATGACAATTTTCTCAATCTTTAAAACCCCCGGTAAAAAGAACATATATGAAATTACCTGATCGCGAAAAAGTATTTACCCTTTACAAATATGAACATTTTCACATATAAAATAAATAAAATATCCAAAAACGTTTACCTCTAAATCATCTATTACATTATACACATCACCAACGAATTCATACCGCAAGCATTACAAATACTTAGTATCAAATATTTAAATTATTTCTATGCACGTTTATTTCAACTTAAACGTATACCAAATTCCTACAAACATAAAATTCACAAAATAACTATTTAATTAAAATATCACTAAACCATGTACACGTCGACTTATTTTTACTTAAAAAAACATCCCAGAATTGCAGAAAAATGGCATTTCACACACTCTTCACTATATCCATGTACACTGCTTTTTTTCTCATAAATTAGACAAATTTCACGAAAATACATGGCAATTTTCTCAATCTTTAAACCCGGTAAAAAGAACATATATGAAATTACCTGATCGCGAAAAAGTATTTACCCTTTACAAATATGAACATTTCCACATATAAAATAAATAAAATATCCAAAAACTTTTACCTCTAAATCATCTATTACATTATACACGTCACCCAACGAATTCATACCGCAAGCCATTACAAATACTTAGTATCAATATTTAAATTATTTCCATGCATGTTTATTTCAAACTAAAACGTATACCAAATTCCTACAAACATAAAATTCACAAAAAACTATCATTTCATTAAAATATAATTAAATTCAAAAACACTACTTAATATAAATGAGCACATACATTAAATTAATAAAAATTACCTTAGAATCCTAATTACTTTAAACTAAATCATTGCTAATAACAATTTTTCCCAATAATACCAAATTCCTTTCCACCTTACATTTAGAACAATGCATAAAAATAATATCCTCAATAATTAAAAATACTAACTTACCTAATCTTCTTCAGAATCTTGATTACGTGGCGGATACACTTTTCTAATTCATTCATAAAATTATTGAAAGATTTTTTCTGCGAATTTTTCCCATCCATACTTCCTCCGCTAAATAAAAAGCAAACTTCTTCTTTATCACAATGCCTAAAATACCCATTTCGAATTCACTTTAGTTAGGGCCATGGGATCCAAAAATTAAAAACACTGTTTCACACAACAAAGAATAAAGCTAAATACGAAATTTCCACATTTTTTCCCGATTTCCCCCCTTTTCCGATTAAAGAACCGTAATTCGTCCATTAATATCACATGACATATCCCATGATCTCTCATTTCCCTCACGCAAAATAATGCGTAATCGGAACTGAGTACTGCTCACATTATTACCAAAGTCCCAGGTAGTAAACTT